TCATTTTCCATAACTCGTAGAAATTTGAGCAACAAGAAATTCTTGGACCAACCACAACGAAAAATTGGATTTCTATTTTCGGAAAAATGCATGTACAACACAACTCTATCGCGTGATTTTCGTTTCGCGTTCCGCATTCTATCAAACGCGAACTGAAAATACCCAGGCCAGTTTGGAAAACAGAATTCGAACAGCGACCTGCATACTGCAGGATTCGTTGTACGTTAACCAATGGACAAATTGTTGCACCAAACTCTCGCATGCATGACGCTGTCAGCGATACTGGAAATCCCGTGTCGCTTCTGGCGTGATACGTTTTCGAAACCAGTGGAGAACAGTGGCACCAGGAATTTTGTTCACGAAAACGTCAGAACAGATGGAAATCGCGAGGTTGAGATATTAAAAGTCTAACTACCTCCTTCAAGTATCTTCGAGGCCCTCTAATGGTTCCGAGGCTTCGAACCGAGATAATCCGTTGAGCTTCCATCCGAAGTTCGATCGTTAGGATCGCCGTTAAAGTCCCAGTGTCCTTCCTGAGTGCCCGAGTTAAAGATTAAGCTGGCACTCGCAAAAATGGGAAACGGGAATTGTTCGAAGAGACCTTGAGGTGGGTGGATAACACTTGAATACAAACGAAGGACAGCCTCGCGTATTACCGAGGCCTAAAACGAGTCTGGATAGGACCGGCAAGAGCGGGGAGCCACTCATGCGAGATACGCGATCGAAAGAAACTACCGACGCCGTGGAACCGCTTCGGTAACAGTCAAGGGAAGACAATGCATTCCAATGAGCAAAGAAAAATATAAGTAGGGCCGGGAAATATTTAAATGTAATGCATGAGACCGGCCGGATAAAAGGAGCAAGAAAGGTCGGAATAAAACAGGAAGAAAGCTGTTTTCGAATTACGCGAAACAAAGCGGACAAGTCGCTTTGATTTTTGTGGGAACCGGTGCGAACGTCGATAATGCAAATTGTTTCAATCTGGCCTTAGGAAGCTTGTGCTGCAGTCCAGCGCGAGAGAATCCTGGTGTGAAACAGGGTAGACCGAGGCTTTAAGGTCACGGGGCGCTGATTTTCCGGTGTAAACCTATGGTAAAATCATCTGCAAATTTATAGACATTCTCCATACATTTCTCGCTTTTCATTGAATCTACATTATCTTTCACAAGATTATACAATTTTCCATCAGTTTGCACAATATTATGCGAATCTACATATTTTTCCAATTTCAAGTTATTTTCCAGGTTTCTAAATAATTTTCCTATGAATCTGAATCATTTTCCATGGCTCCAAACAATTTTCCCATAAATCTAAACAATTTCCTATGTATCTAAACAATTTTCCATGAATCTAAATAGTTTTCCGTGAATCTAAACAATTATTCACCAACCTAAACAATTTTCCACGAATCTAATCAATATTCCACGAATCTGATCAATTTTGCCTACACAATCTTCAATTAGTTTACACAATATTTGAATCTTAGTTGTTTAAATAATAAAGAATAATAAATAAATAATAAAACAATAATAAAAGTAAATAAATAATAAATCTCTTCCACGAAATGTTAATCGACATAAAACTGTAGAAAGAATTGAGATCCGGAATGGTTTCGCAATGATTTGTCGGGAATTATTAGAAATTAGGAAACAAAAAATAGAAACGGATACCCGGTTTCACAGTTGTTTATTTAGTTGAAAATAATATCTTTTCAAACAATAAATTCTATTTGCCATCGAGTTGTCCCATTTCTCCGTTTTAAATTGTAATAGTCGTTTAGCAAAGTCGACGTTAGCAACCATATTCAAAGGCCGACTGCACTATCGTGAGAACGGCAAGAAGTAACGAGGAGCACGTGCAGATACATGCGCCATCCGGTGATGGTAATGTGCGTCGATATAAAATGCAGGGTGCTCGGTCAAAGTGGTCGACAGACATTATGTCTTTTACCACAATGCGATTCCCACGGACATGGCAGGGAGTAGCCGCTTTTATTTTACACGCGTGTCCCGTTACCGGCCAGCTGACCATAAATGTTTTCAGCTCCGGAAGTCAAGCTAAAAAATGTCCCGGAAAAAAGCTGCCCTCGAAATTCTATTCACCGGCCAGGTTACGACAAGCGTGAGAATTTATCACCGAAAAAAGATCATCGATACCGGACCTTTCTCCATCGCGTAGCTCGACGAATAAATAAACTCAATTGAATACGTATTTCGTTACCGTGAATTTTTTTTTTAATGAGGTGTGAATATTATTAGAGTTTGTAGGATTTATTGTAAATCTATATAATTATCCATGAATCTATAATATATGACTTTCTATTAGAGCAACCAATTTTCCAATAAGTTTTATGAAGTTACATAAGCTACAGTTTTTAGGAAGCTACATAATTTTTCCATGACTCTACGTAGTTTTTCTTTGACTCTACATAATTTTTCTTTGACTCTACATAATTTTTCTTTGACTCTATATAATTTTTCCATGACTACATAATTTTTCCTTGACTCTACATAATTTTTCCATGATACTGCATAATTTTTCATAACTGTACATAACTTTTCCATGACTCGTAGAAATTTTCCATGAGTTTGCGCAGATTTTCCAGGAGTTTACTACTTTGTTTACCATCTCACAACTTTCCCACAACATTTGTAAGAACTCACAGAATTTTCCATGAATCTACATTATATTTTACACATCTATACAATTTTCCAGTGCACTCCATTTTGTAAAAATTCGCACAGTTTTCCATGAGTCTATACACTTTCCCACGACTCGTTACGGTATTCCTTGACTCGATACAAATTTCTCTGACTCTATACAATTTTATATGACTAAGTACAATTTTTCACGAGTCTATACATACTTTTCTAAGGGTCCACACAATTTTCCAATGCAGTACACAACTTTCCACGATTGTATTCAATTTTCCTACGAATTAACCAGTTTTCCATCAGTCTGTTGAATTTTCCATTGCATTCACAATCTTCCATTAAATTATCACGATTACTATCATAAGCGTATTACATATTCTTCGACTCGGTACAACTTCCCGCGAATCTTTCCACAAACAAGACCGACGTTACGTCCCGAAATATATGGCTCCCGGGAAAAAATTGCTGTCCTCCGATGTACAATGGAATGAAACAGTTTAAGAGCGCAATAAGTACGGATAATCCAGATTCCGTGGCATTGAATTTACAGCCAAAGTTACTCAAGAGCTCTTGTTCAGCGCGGTTCCGAAGAGCGGAAGCTACGAATTTTTGCCGATTTAAAAACGTCCAACGTTCTATCGCGTGGGTGGTGGAAGGGCGATGGTTTGTGGAAGGGATTGACGGGGGTGAGAACGACGAGGAACGATCCCATTGTTGTCGAGGAAGTTGAGACCGATCGTAGATTCTCCTAGGACGAATGCAATTGCCGAAGTTCTGATTTCCTATTTAACGAACAGCCCTCCTCCAGTCTTGATAATGTGTCTGTTTCTTGCGCAAACTGTGTCACGGACCGGTTGAAAGGGGCCTGCGAGGTCTCGGTGCAACTTCGGCGACGATTAAAAACCTTAAAGAGCCCGGCTGCGCAAGCAGGGATCCTGAATGGCCGCTCTGTACACCTACACAACGATTGTTCCGCGCGAAATCGAACACGCTTTACGGCCGAAGTTTATTATATCGCGTGCAAAACTGCCGACAACGTAAATCATTTTAACGACGACCCGGCATTCCCCTGCGAAGACAATCGCAAAAGTTCAAACCAAACGCTGCGCTTAATACAGGAGATTTTTCATTATCGTACCGGAATTGTTTGACACAGCTGTGTAAGATTCGGTAGTATTTTTTATTCGTTATTTCACGTAGCCTGACAGGACTTTTAATGTCAAGAGAAAGCTTTTTTACGAAGCTGTGCGATATTTTGTTGTATTATAGTGTTTTCTATGGCTTAAATCCATTTTCTAGGTCGTAATACGATTTTCCAGGGCCCGAGAATGTTTCCTTACTATTTTTTATGATTTTTTGTGCGCTGGTAGATAGTTCCATGATTTTAATTTATTTTTAAGAACGTGATAAGATTTTCCATTACTTAATACATGTTCCATCACTTCAAAAGGCTTTCCATGAGTTGCCTACGTTTTCCTTCACTCGATATAATTTTCGATGACTTGTAATACGATTTTTTATGACTTGGCTCAATATTCCACGACTTAAAATATCTTTTTTTATAACTGAACAAGATTTTCCAAAACTACACAATATTTCCATTAAGTTGGTATTTTCGCTGACATGCTAAGATTATCTTTAACTTAAATCGATTCTCCATGAGTTGGTAAGGCTACTATCTTCTTACGAAAGTTTTCCTTGACTCCGGAAGATTTTCCATGAATGAACATCTTTTTTCTAGGATTCAATAAAATTTTCCTTATTTGTGAAGTAAGGGGATTTTCCTTGATCTAGCAAGATATTGTTTCATTTAACACGATTGACTGATAGTTCTATAACTAGGGAAAGACTCTCGTGCCCTGACATTTTATTTCCTATAACTGATACTATGATTTATTCTGACTACGTGCAATTTTTCATGACTTGGACGAATTTTCCATGACATACAAGAATTATCCATGGCTTGGATCAGTTTTCCATGACTCGGAACAATTTTCCATGATCTAACACACTTTTCCATAACTCGGAACGATTTTCGATGACTTGGAACAATTTTCCATGACTTCACAAAATTGAAATATTTCCCACTGATTTCCTAGGTCTTTGAACTATTTTTCATGACTTTCAAGTGATACTTCCATAATCTCCCCTAACTTGAAAAGTTATGAAAAAATGTCTGCGACCGTAAATTAAACATTCAAGTGGTGAAATACGAGCCTTCCCGCGCTTTCAAGCACTAAGTAATCCAGCCAGCTTCCGAGTTCATAATAACAATGACACCCATAATATTTAATGTACCATCCAGGGTCAGCATACTAATAAAATTTGTAACCTCTCTCGTTTCAGGTGGTGAGGGCCGCGAGCCCGGTGCTCCTCCGTGTGATCGTGCTGGGTGCATTTTTCATATATTGCACGGTAAGTGTTCCGCTCTTTACTTTTTACGATTCTGAAGAATAGCCATCGCCGGCGAAGATTTTTCGCGCCGGTTGCTGCTGAAATGTACTCCTATGGCTCTCGTAAAACGCTGCGATATTTCTTTCCCGGGGAAGCGCAGAAAATAAACAATCGGCCCGCGAATTTTATCGCGGGGAACTATGGGATTCCCTGGCGCGCCGTGGCGTTGACAAATATTTGGCGATTTTCGGTCAGTTGAGACGAACAATTGCAATTTTTGTCTCGAAGCCGCATGAAAATCTCGATTATTGTCGAACGATTGCGAAAGCGAAGAGAAGAACTCCTCTGTCGCCGGGAAAATCCGGCAGAAATTTTTCCGTTGAGAGGGTTCGATGAAATGGTATGGTACGCCAACGGAAGTCAATTCTCCTTTTGTTTCCAGACGATTGTAATGTACCCCCGCCCAAACGTCATAACGTGCACGGTGCGAGTTTGGCTGCGAGAAATTGGATTCTCACTCACCTATGGCGCGCTTATGCTCAAAACATGGAGGTAAGTGCGAACAACGTTTTATCCAGCGATATTTGACTCGGTGTCTACTCGAGTACTGTTCCCATGTTCGGAATAGCGAGAAAGCATTTTTAAACGCTGCTCGAAAACGAAGGAACTTGAAATTTTTATACTGATCTACCGAATTTTTAATGGATTCCTCTGGTCAGCTTAAATGGGTCTATTGTGTGCTCTGAACCTAATTAATTTCCTGCGATTGCGAAGAAACTTGGCAACACTTTACGTGAAACATTCCTCATTATCAGTCGACATGTAACATTTTTCGTTGGTTTAAATAATTTTCGAGTTAATAGGATTTTCCAAAGTTTTCCATTTTCTATTTATTTAGACGAGTTTCTACTGATCCACAAAATTTCTCATGAGTCTACAAAATTTTCCATGAGTCTACGATTTTTAATCACTGCACATAATTTCTCATGAGTCATCACAATTTTCCATGACTATATGCCACTTTCCATGAGTCAAAACAATTTTTTATAAGCCTGTAAGATGTTACATAATTCTACACGATATTCTATTACCCTATACGATTTTCCATTAATCTGTACGATTTTTTATTACTGTATTTGATTTTTTATTACTCTATACAATTTGTTATTATTCTATACAATTTTTTATTATTCTATACGATTTTCAATTAATGCTTACGATTTTTCATTAATCTGATTAAAAATTTCTGTATTATCCCATGATTTTCCAGGACTCCACACAATTTTCCATGTGTCCACGTTACTTTCCATATCTCCACACGATTTTCCATGAATCTGCGCTATTTTTCAATCAGCCTATACGACATTACATAATCTATAAGATTCATCAGAAGTCTACTCAATTTTCTATTAATCTTTAAAATTTTCCATGACTGCACATAATTTTCCATGACTCTCTACATGATTTTCAATGACTCCATGCGATTTTCTATGACTCAATGCAATTTTCCATGAGTCTGTGGTAATTTTCAATAGTCCTGTACGTGATATGTAATTATATTTGCGTAATTTTCTTCGATCCTGCATGGTCTCTCATTAGTCTTTGAAATTTGTACCTGAATCGAGATATAGATTTTTATGATTCTACATAATTTTTTATAAATATATACAAGGTTTTATACATTTTTCCACGACTCCAAACGATTTCCAATACCAGCTTTTAATAATCCCATACAGTGTTATATAATTCATTACGATTTTCGAAAAGTCAATACGAAATTAAATTAACCGCCAAATTTTCCACGAGTTTCATACAATTTTCTTTGAGCCTTCTACGAGTTCAAATAAATCTGTAGTAGCGTATGTAATCGTTTTGTAAATTCACAGGATCTTTGAACGAGCTCATACATTTTTATGTGATCCTAAACGATTCCCTGATACGTTCACAAAATTTTCCGGAGCTTCGACGTATTTTTGCACAACAGGATATGCAAATACAACGTTTACGTATGAGATATAAATTCGGTGGGAATTCTCCCATGCTTCAAACGGGCACAAAAGCCACCAGTACGTATTATCAATCGTTTTCATCCCGAGTTTCTATGGTGAATATTAATCTCCGCGTTATCGCGAATTACATTCACGTTTTCCGCAACACCTGCGCGATGAATTCCTGCGGAACGTCGGAAACTCATGGAACTCGACCCCGATTTAATACCAGCCTGCCGGAAAGTTTGACGGAATAGTACAATTTTTCATTTTGTCAGCTATAGAGATACTTAGGAAACATTCCGCATTAAATTATAATCGCAGCTGTGCAGCCGGTATCCCGGAGCTCCAGTTACGGACAAGTTTCAGCATGATTAAAAATCGTTGTCTGCATATTAACACGGTTTTAAAAGACATTCTGTAACGTCAGTGAGAGGCACATTGCTGTTCGACGGCTCGTAGAATTTTTCTGCGACACGAAATATCGGTTTATGTAACACAAAACAATTTTCTTTGATCCATAACGCTTTTCCATGACTGGTAACGTTTCCCATGACTTGTGCATTTCCACGATGAAAGTTACTGCTCCAAAATTACTTGTAGCATTTTGATTTGTCGACTAATGATACCGAAATTACCTTACTTTGATTCGAGACGCTTTTCCAAGACTTCAAACATTTTCCACGAGCCATCCTTTTTTTCCATGACTCTGTGTATCATTCAACAATGTAAATTCCTATGTGTGACAAACAATATCGGCCTGTGTGAATTAAAATAATTTCCCACGATTCGTGGCGCTTTTCCATGACTCGAAACATTTTTCCATGAGGCATAATGTTTATCAATGACTCGTTGTGCTTTCCCATAATGCTAATTACTGTACTATGACTTGTAGCATATTTTTTATGCCACAGAATGTTAGTTCATGCTACTCAAAATAATTAACTATAATCTAGAACGCTTTTCCATGACTCGATCCTATCTTCCACGAATCGAGGTGTTTTTTAAATGACTCAAATTAATTTTCCATGTTTCCCAGTACTCGAAATGTTTTTTCTCTTGTTCATTAATTATATTCCGTGACTCAATCAGGTTTTTCATGACTCGCAGTGCTTTTTCATAACTCGATGTAGTTTTCCATGAGTCGTGGTGCTTTCCCGTGAATCAAATTGATTTTCCTCAACCCACAGTGTCTTTTCTAAATCAGAATTACAATTGTGCCTGCTCTTAAACGAGCATTACGCTGTAATCCAGTGTAGATCCCAATTAACGTGCGAATGAAGCCTGCACTTGTGTCTACAATGCTCTGCGTAGCATCGAAATTGGAACAGGAACGAGAGCATAATATATGCACGAATAACTCTGGAAATTATCTCGCAAATTGCACTTAAACTAATACCTGTATTTTCCTTTCGTTTCAATTGAGAGAGTTAACTGTAATCTAACTACAATCCCAATCAATTCATCATTGAACGGAAACTGTTCTCGCAGACTTCTGTAATAGCGACATTGATTCGAAGCGCCGCACGGACGGTCGACTTCGAAATGAAATTCTTCGCTGTTCCAAGGCACGTCGTTTGTCTCCGGCAGATAAACACCGACGACTAAAGGCCCATTTAATTAATGGGGAAACTCGATCAAAAGTTTTCAACTAGATGTTTGAACGATAAGAAAAATATGAATAAACGAGCGCCGAAAGTTGATGAAGAATAATGAACTTTTGATTACCCGAGGACCGGGGGATGCCGGGGGAATAGTTTTCGCGCGTTATACTATTCAATGTACCCCGGCAACCATGGTCGACGGAAGACGCGCGCGACTTTCGAACTTATCTTGTCCGCTCAAGACTTTTGAATCATTCTGACGGTGCTTCAACTTAATTCAACTTTTTAAATTACAAGCTCGCTGAAAGCACTGTGCAATCGTTGTGCAAACGTGAATATCAATTTCATAAATCATCGTTTATAGTTCACCGGTGACGCGAAACAATTCTCTTTACAATTTCTCAATTTTTCTGTTATTATCTCCTACATGATCTTCAAATTCTCTTTTAGCACGTTCTAAATAGAAATCACTTTCGAAATTATGACCGACAAAAATTATGGAGAACTTTTTTTTCTGTGCTCTATGCTAAATTCAATATTGGAGAGAATTTTTCTGGGTGCTGAATATTCAGTTAAAAATTAGGAAAAGGTTTTGTGGACGTTCAGTAATCAGATGAAAAAAATAAATTACATAATGGGAAAAATTTTTCTGGATATGCAATATTCAAGTAAACATTGGGAAAACTTTTCTGGATGTTCGATTTTAAATTGAAAATTAGGGGAAACTTTTCTGGATAGTGAATGTTCAATTAAAAATTCGAAACTCACTTTATGAATCAAATACAAGTTAGAAAGAAATTGTTTTTAAAAAAATTGAATCGATGAAGATTTTAATATTCCAAGATTTTCATTATTTTCCAAGCATAAATAATATTTTGTAGAGTCGGAAGAATGAAACTGAATGAAACTGAAAAAGCCGCCGTTCTCTGCTGTTCAAAGTTTTCTTGGACTTCCGATTCGCATTCGTGTATTTCCTAAGGATCATCGAGGTTATCCGACGATTGCTGGTCAACCAGTGTATAACTTCCGCTTCCCTTCTTTTTCCCATCATGCTCGCGAAATTGTTCTGTCCGAGCAGTACCTGCCGGATTTCCGGTGCTTGGGATAAAGATCGCCGGGTGGTTTCATCCCTTATTTTCTTCATCGAACCTCTGCTCTCTGATCGCAGCCAAGGGAAAAAGTTCAACGGATGTTCGCCCGTTGAATTCGTGAGCCAGTTATCGAATGGAGCCACTCTTTCTGCACCTTCTGTCTCCTATATTACGTTGAAACTGATCCCCTCAATAAAAATTTCTTCATCCCGGCGCGAAGATTGAAGCGGGCAGGGAAATTTCGCGATTTCGAATTTTCGTACCTTCTGGGACGGTCGTTTTCTCAAAATAATGATTCCAGGTATGAGATCGACGTTGAGAATTCTCTTATTATTTTTGCAACTGTCAGAGTTTTCGAATCATGGAAAATGTCTATGAATCATAGAAAAGTGTTCGATGTCGTTGGTAAATGTTACGAGTCGTTGAAAGCTATTTTGAGTTATGGAAAATTATTTTTATAATTTTTGGAGTGTATTCCTGATCTTGGAAAAATAGCATGAAGCATAGAAAAACTCTGTGAGTCTTGCAAAATTGTTCGGAGTCGTAGAAAAATGATGTGATTTATGGAAAACTCTGTTGCACAATACATCATTATTTTCTCAATTATGAAAGTACACTAGGGGCCAGGGAAAATTATTTTAAGATACAGAAAAGATAGGCGAGCATTGATGGTGGTGAGAAATAATTATCAATGGGAGTTGTAACGTTCAGAAGTTGTTTAATATCACTAAAACCGTTACACGTATGTATCTATGTCGAGAATGATTCAAACCCCTGTGAGGTTACCAATGACACCGGTACAGTAAGTAGCAGCTGGTACACATGTCAAGAAACTTGCATCCGACTTGTTACTTGAGGTCAGATCGATAATGTTTGCTGGGTCAGCATAGGAGAGAAGCCTGACACCGGTTGTCGTGGCACATAACTGCCACTTGTGTGGTATTAGCAACATGTACCAAACCCTCATACTGTTTCTTCGTGATTTTCTACATCTTTCTGTGATTGGTTTTGTTTTCTTGTTACCCAATTTTTCTTTTTCCACGACACAGAATTCTTTTTCGTTACAGGAAAAGTTATTCTGCATTATTCGCATCAAGTTTTCTATGTTCGTGGCGTTTTTTCTCGTAATTTGTTAACGTTTTTCATAACTGGAAATTTCTTTCTGTGATTCAAGCTGATCTTCATAGCACTATTTTCCATTAGTCGATTTGATGTTTCATTACTCGTACTGATTTTCCATGACTCAAGTCAATTTTCTGTTACTCGTACTGATTTTCCATGACTCAAGTCAATTTTCTGTTACTAGAGTTGATTTTTCATGACTCGAGTCAATTTTATGTTTCCCCAGTTCATTTTTCATCACATGAGTTAAAATTTTCTATCGTTCGAATTGGTTTTTCACAATTCGAATCAATTTTCTATTATTGAGTTTTCGTAACTTATACCAATTTGTTACTACTCTACCTTTCTGTAACAGGAATCTGTTTTCAATTTTTCAAAAATGTTTCTCATCACTCATTGCTATTTTTCATAACACAAAACATATTTCACATACATCGCTTGAAACAATTTCACATGATTGGAGGAGCTTCTTCATAAATTACATTTATTTTCCATGAATCATAGAGCTTTTTCATGATTCATAGGAATTTCCAATTATTCGCAGCTCTTTTCCTCAATACTAATTACTATTAAACAACTCAACAATTTTCCTTATCACAAAATGTCGTTCCATGTAAGTGAAGACAATTTTCCATGACTCATAATGTTTTTCCATGACTTGCACTTCCCATTGACCATGATACTTTGAGGTGACTCAAAATAATTTTCTATGACTTGTGGTGCTTTTTCATTTGTCGTGAGGGTTTTCTCTGACTCATGAAACACTTTTATACCTCGTGAGAGTTTTCCATGGCTCGTGGAACTTTTCCATGACTGGTGGAACTTTTCCATGACTTCGATCGATTTCCCATGATTCGTAATACTCCTCCAGATAGTAAATTACCATCTGGCAACCCATGATACTTCTCCATAATGCAAACCATCGTGTTGGCCGTTTCCTAACCCAGTCTAGATATTTCTGAGACCCAGCTACCAAACCTGACAACATTCTCGGCTCCAACTTGTGACTTCCATAACCATCATCCTACAGATTAGAGGAACGATGGACGCAATATCGTCCAATAATAACTCGGACAGCTTATTCCGGTTGACAGCTCCGAAATAACTCAGTCAACGTCTTCGGCAACGAAGGAGATGCAGCCAGCTGCAAATGTCATGTAATCCTCTCAGTAACCTTTTTATCTATTCAATAGGGACGTATTTGGCCAGCCCAGCCGATGCCGGCGATACCGGGGATTAAAGGACAAAGTATAAAAGCTGGTTCCGTCCTGAATTCACGGAGAGAGGACGGTGGGCAGGGGATGAAGGAGCACGTCGCTCTTAATGCTAACTCTTTCTCCGAGCGAGGCAGGAGTTGTCCGCTCGCAGAAACTTTGCCAGGGCCTGACGCAGTTTCTTAAGCGACAGTAAGACTCCCACGGCTTTCATTACGTAAATTCAACTGTGCAGCCGGCCTTCTGATAGGCGCATCCCTGAATGGACCCTGAAACGATTCCTGAAAAAGTTACGGTCCTCTTACGTTGATCCTGCGACCCACTTTATTTGTAGATGCATCCTTTGAAATTGTCCTGCCGGCGCAAGGATCCGACCGTTTCCCAGAAAGCGGTTTTCTGATACTTAATTCGAAGTGATTTTCATTGATTCGCCTTGCGTTTTAAGCGATTCAGGTTTTACATAAATGCTGACATTTTTTCATGACTCGTGGCTATTTACTATATTTTCGGAGAATTTTCCATGCATTAGTATCACTCATTCATAATGGGATTTCCATCATTGGTAACGATTTCCCATTACACGAGGTTTCCACTAAGTTGAAAGTGATTTTCTATGACTCACTGCTTTCTTACTTAGCTTATAATTATTTCCCATAAGTGGAAATAATTTTCCATGAGTCACAATGCTTTTCTATGAGTCACAGTGATTTTGAATAATTCACAGTACTTTTCTATGACTCAAAGTGATTTTCTATGAGTTTCAGAACTTTTTCACATGACCCAGCACTTTTATTTGGCTCTCACAGTGTGTTTTTCTTAAACCTAAATCTATTAATAATTATTTATAATTATTAATTAATATTCTATTCCATTGAGTAATAATCTATTAAAATATTTTCATACGGCTCTTTATACTTTTCTATAACTGAAAAGTATTTTCTCGCATAACTTCTGACAATTTTCTCATGACTCGAGCAGTTTTTCTATGACTCATAAAGATTTTTCATTATTCATAAAGCTCTTTTACAATTTACATTCAGCATCTCTCGATGGAAATTAGTTTTACTAGGATTGTTTTTACCTTCGATCCAAAAATGTTTTCCGAGACTCAAAAAGTTTTTCATTGATCTAAATAATCTTCCATGGCTCGTGGGAATTTTCAACGAGTCGAATCGATTTCCCACGACTCACGGTCTTTTTCCATCCCTGATAACGCTTTACACAATTCGAAGAATTTTCCGAGACAATTTTCATCCGTGGGCGAAATGATTTTCTCTTCCTTCAATCGCTATAAATGGATTCTTTTGATGGCCACGTGAAATGTTCGATCGTTTTAGTTACAAAATAAATAGTCATGATAAAACATTATCTCTATATAAATATCCTCTCTGGACCAGATAACATTGAAATTCTTGTTCGACCACTGCAATAACGTACATTAATGTCGATTGCTTCTCCGCTGACTACACTACCGTTCAAAACAAATAACGTTGCTCACCGGGGGCAGCGGTACGCCTCTTGGAAAAATATCGTCGAGTTCGGCGCGGTCACTATGATCATTTTTATCCGCGGAGAACCCAGCGCAGTTCGAAAATTTCCTGACAGTAAAAGGGATACGCTGCCAAGCGTACTTCGATTCACGACGCGGTCTCGAAAGACGAGTACACCTAAGGAAAACGGCTGCCAGAGAGTTCCCGTCACGACCGACTTTCAAAGACACAAAGCTCTGGGACAATGGCTTGGATCAGTTCTTTTTTTTGTGCTGACTGTATCCTAGATATGGCAATGAACTACTGCACTCTGCCACGGTCAGGTTGGGTTAGGTAAAACATATAATAATGGCTCGTTAACCAATGAAATCAACGAGTAATATTACTTATTTTATAAAATGTAGTTAATTTTATATAACTGTTAAAACAATTTCATTCTATTTCACTGATAAAGTAATGTAATTCTGATTGTCTGCTAAAGCATGTCAATACTACTTGTTTGCTGAAACAAGCTAATTCTATCCGTCTGACAAAGCAAGCTAGTTCTTCTCAGTTGATAAGTGTTCTACTTGTCTGATCAATGAAATCAATTCTACTTGTCTGATTAATGACGTTAATTCTACTTTGCTTATCAATGGAGTTAATTTTACTTGCCTGATGGTTGAAATAAATTTTACTTGTCTGATCAATGAAGTGTTAATTTTACTTATTTGATCAATGACGTTAATTATACTTGTCCGGTCAATGAAGTTAATTCTACTTGTCCGACCAATGATGTCAAATATATTTGTCTGATCAATTATGTCAAATTTACTTATCTGATCAATGATGCCAAATCTACTTATCTGATCAAAGTTATGTCAATTCTACTTGTCCGAACAATGACGTTAAATCTACTTGTGTGATCAAAGATGCTAAATCTACTTGTCTGATCAATGATGTCAATTCTATTTGTCCGATCAATTATATAAAATCTACTTGTCTCATCAATGATGTCCATTCTACTTGTCTCATCAATGAAGTTTACTCGACTTGTCTGATCATTGAAGTTAATTTCACTTGTCGGTTCAATGAAGTTAATTCTACTTGTCTAATAAATGAAGTTACCTTGTCTGACAAATCACCTACTAGTTTCACTGTTAAAATTTCAATTGTCTTATGAACTATAAAGTATAATATTGTCACAGACACACGAAAAGTCTGAGTGCGATCTTAAACTTCAAATAACTTTCGATCTAACGTCGTTTACTTATGGGATTCCTAGTACTTTTTTTATAGAGGGCATAAAACTGCATCACCTGGTAGATTTTACAACGTGCAGTTATGTTTAAACTATACGTGCAGTTGCATTTCTTTGGCGCACTGATGCAGAAAATTGCATAAAATTATGCTTGCCAGATGCTCTCTCCGTAAGCATGCGGCTTTGCTATATAACCGTTTGTTCTCTGACCCATAATTTCAGAGATATGACTTGCTCTATGTGCAGGGATATACTGTATAATATAATAATCTTAAAATCTAAATAACCTGCAAGCAGACAGTTTGAACAATCAGATTACTTTGTACTCTGTTATGCTGAACATCATCAACTTGCATCGACCGTTGCATTATTTAACGTGCAGTTGCATTATAACTTGCATAAAATTATTTTCGGAAGATGCTTCATACAAAATCATATGATCATGCTCAGTGACACATTTCTATGTGTTCAACGCTTGAACAACGAAACCTGGGTCCATTTTGACCCACGCAGATCGTTATTTAAATAGCTAAATTTCGACGATTAATTAAAATTTCTATATTTAGTTTCGCAGAACTATATTGAACAAAATTGCTAAATAATATTCGAAATAATCTCAAGCATTCTGAGCTTCTCATCAAAAGGTTTCGTCATCCGGGTTGTTAATTGTTTCAACGATGCGATTAGTTCTATTTGCTATAGAGGGATGTTCGTTTGGTTTCAGGATATCGGTGATATTCCGAGTGAAGTCGGCGAGGGCTGTGAAGATCACAGACGGCAGTCTGCTGAAACGGCTGGGAATCATCGTGATGATATTCAGCGTGTTCCTTGGTATCCGGACTTTAGTCGCGCCACCGGTGGTGATAGTTGCCCGGACTGCGGACGACCTGAAGGCTTATCTGTGCCGGACGGACTGGTGGGATCACAGCTTCACTACACGTGAGTAACCCGCAGTTATTCCACGACTCAGTGAGCACCGTTACGTTCGCGGATTCCGATACCGGTCGGTCCACTAGAACTCTTCGTACTCGGCGAAAGCTGTTCACGCGTCCTCAGGAACAGCTATTAATTATCTCGCCGGCACTACTGCAATTGAATGTTCCATTCCAGTCGGACAGCCACTTTGCCGAATACCAGCACGTTGTTTCCAGCATTCTAACGCTCTCAATGTTATCAATTTCCCACGTGTATACCGTAATTTTCATGTCTCGCTTGTGGAACGATTATGACGGAATCGTATCATTTGGATGATTTGGGACTGGCTTCTCTACTTGGCTGATTTAAAGACGATTTTTCTACTTGCCTGATTTAAGACAGATTTGTCTACCTCATTGGTAAAAAATAGACTTTTATACTTGACTTGATTCAACGAAGATTTTTCTACTTGGCTGATTTAAGGAAGACTTATCTACTGCTTTGATGTTAAACAGACTTTTCTAGTTGTTTGATGTGAAATAGACTTTTCTACTTATTTGTTTATAAATAGATTTTTCTACTTGTTTGATTTAAAACAGACTTTTCTACTTGTGTGGTCTTAAATAGACTTTTCTGCTTGCCTCATTTTAGACAGGTTTTTTCTACTCGTTTGTTTTTAATTGATTATCCTACTCGTTTGGTTTTGATTAGATTGTCCGACTTGTTTTATTTATAATAGATTGTACTAGTCATATGATTTTCAATAGATTATTCTACTTGTCTGATTTGATGTATTTCTACTTATCATAAGTTCGTTCTACTTGTCTGATTCGAGACAAACTTTCCTACTTATCAGACATACAGCATTTCTACTTGCTCGATTTAATAGAAATTGCCTTTACCAATCTCCCTGGAATCAAATATTTCTAATGGTCTGATTTAGGACAGACTTTTCTTCTTGACTGATTTATGGAAGATTTTTGTACTTAGCTGATTTAAGAAAGATTTTTTCACTTGTTTAGTCTTAAAGAGACTTTTCTACATGGTTGATTTATGACAGAGTTTTCAACTTGACTGATTTATGGAAGATTTTTCTACTTATCATTCTTAAGACAGACTTTCCTACTAGTTTGATATCGAACCTCTACGTTTCTACTTATCTGAGTATGACAAACTTTTCTACTTGTCCCATTTACTTCTACTGTGGTATTAAATTTTTTCAATTGCCCGATTTAAAAATCTTTTCTAGTTTAGAATATGCTGCTTCTATTTAATATCATTAACTATCGTACTACTATCGATTTAACACAAATTACATCTACTAGCCAGATTTACAACATACATTTCTACTTGTTTAAGACAGACTTTTCTACTTGTCTGATCTAATATAGGCAGTCTATATTTGTCCACGTTGACACAGTGTCTCCACTTGTCTGATTGAATTATGTCTTTCTACTTGTCTGAGTTACCACAGATTGTTTCTACTTCATAACTCGACATTGATTTTTTATATTAGTCTGACTGGAAACAGATCTCCTTTGACTTAAGACAAACATTACGACCAGTCTGACGTAAAGCACACATGTCTACTAGTTTGATTTAAAGTACACACATCTACTAGTTTGATTTAAAGCACACTTCTCTGCTAGTCAAATTGAAAGCACACGTCTCTACTAGTCTGATTTGAAATAGACATTTCTACTGGCCTGATTGAAGTCAGACATTTTTCGTAGTTTGATTGAACACAGACTGATTTAAATCTCACATTTGTACTAGACTAATTTAAAGCTCACATTTCTACTAGACTGATTTAATGCTGACAATTGAACTAGACTCACTTATAGATGACATTTCTGATTTAGATCTGTCTACTAACCCGATTTAAAGTCCCATTTTTTATAGTACTATATATATACTATATATATTTATGGTACTATATATATACTATATATATTTATAGTACTATATATATACTATATATATTTATAGTACTATATATATACTATATATATTTATAGTACTATATATANTCCTACTAGTTTGATATCGAACCTCTACGTTTCTACTTATCTGAGTATGACAAACTTTTCTACTTGTCCCATTTACTTCTACTGTGGTATTAAATTTTTTCAATTGCCCGATTTAAAAATCTTTTCTAGTTTAGAATATGCTGCTTCTATTTAATATCATTAACTATCGTACTACTATCGATTTAACACAAATTACATCTACTAGCCAGATTTACAACATACATTTCTACTTGTTTAAGACAGACTTTTCTACTTGTCTGATCTAATATAGGCAGTCTATATTTGTCCACGTTGACACAGTGTCTCCACTTGTCTGATTGAATTATGTCTTTCTACTTGTCTGAGTTACCACAGATTGTTTCTACTTCATAACTCGACATTGATTTTTTATATTAGTCTGACTGGAAACAGATCTCCTTTGACTTAAGACAAACATTACGACCAGTCTGACGTAAAGCACACATGTCTACTAGTTTGATTTAAAGTACACACATCTACTAGTTTGATTTAAAGCACACTTCTCTGCTAGTCAAATTGAAAGCACACGTCTCTACTAGTCTGATTTGAAATAGACATTTCTACTGGCCTGATTGAAGTCAGACATTTTTCGTAGTTTGATTGAACACAGACTGATTTAAATCTCACATTTGTACTAGACTAATTTAAAGCTCACATTTCTACTAGACTGATTTAATGCTGACAATTGAACTAGACTCACTTATAGATGACATTTCTGATTTAGATCTGTCTACTAACCCGATTTAAAGTCCCATTTTTTATAGTACTATATATATACTATATATATTTATAGTACTATATATATACTATATATATTTATAGTACTATATATACTATATATATTTATAGTGCTATATATATAAAACTACATATAAACTATAGTACTATATAGTACTATATTATTCGTAGTCTCATTCAAAACAGCTTCTTTCCACTTGCCTAATTAAAAACAATCTTTCTATTCGACACATTTAATACACACACCTTTTAATTATCCGTTTTAAGAAAGACTCGCGCAACTTGTTCGAGGAATTCAAACTGATCCGACCAGACCGATTTCCACCAGATAAATGCCTCTGTGGCCGTTTTGCCTCGCAAAGTCAAACGAATACTTCCAAAGGACAAACTGTTGAATTAGTATGTCGGCAGAAATAATCGGTTTGCACGGTTGGCTAGGAAACGGCTTTGTGGAATATCGATTTGCTCGACGAGAAGCGCAATAAATTGACCGACAGTTCGAACGACGGGAACCGCATGCACGGGCAAGATCTTCCTCGGAAGTTGCTCCCCTTTGACCCTTTGGGATGCTCGAACTTCGTCGCTTGGATGTCCCGGCGAAGCTGGCTCGAGCTCCACAGGATTTCCTTTTATCATGTCACCCTTGTCGCGGCCTAGAATTCTTCTGAGCGCGCGAGGGAGGGCCGAAGGAACGAAGGGAACAAATGCGAAGGGAAAAATATGAATCCGCCACGACGAAACCGGATTCCAGATACATATAGCACCGAGAATCTCGGCCCCGGCTATGATAAAAAGCTCGGGAAAGAGTTGCCATAAAGTGCGTGAGAAAACCCGGGACGTCTAGAAATTGAATCCCGACAGGGATTAAGTAATCCGCAGAGAGTTAAGTACCCTCCGTTCTGTTCGTGGCGAGGAATGCTTTGACAAAGTACAATTTATTTTTTGAAGCTTCGAGCGACTTTTAAGAATGCAATAGTACGCTCCATTCGCGTTGTCCGGCGAGGTTCTTTCTTCCGCGATTTAATAGTTACGTTAAATATCTTAGAAGATTTTTAAAGGGTTTTATTAAAGATGGGGAAAAATGAACCGTTTATTTTGAAAGTGGCGTAAGTCACTTTTTTTTTTTAATGAAAAGATACCGTTCAATTGTAATCAGTGTTACCATTAACTCGATTTTTTTGAAAAAATGACTTATGCCACTTTCAAAATAAACNGCGAAGCTGGCTCGAGCTCCACAGGATTTCCTTTTATCATGTCACCCTTGTCGCGGCCTAGAATTCTTCTGAGCGCGCGAGGGAGGGCCGAAGGAACGAAGGGAACAAATGCGAAGGGAAAAATATGAATCCGCCACGACGAAACCGGATTCCAGATACATATAGCACCGAGAATCTCGGCCCCGGCTATGATAAAAAGCTCGGGAAAGAGTTGCCATAAAGTGCGTGAGAAAACCCGGGACGTCTAGAAATTGAATCCCGACAGGGATTAAGTAATCCGCAGAGAGTTAAGTACCCTCCGTTCTGTTCGTGGCGAGGAATGCTTTGACAAAGTACAATTTATTTTTTGAAGCTTCGAGCGACTTTTAAGAATGCAATAGTACGCTCCATTCGCGTTGTCCGGCGAGGTTCTTTCTTCCGCGATTTAATAGTTACGTTAAATATCTTAGAAGATTTTTAAAGGGTTTTATTAAAGATGGGGAAAAATGAACCGTTTATTTTGAAAGTGGCGTAAGTCACTTTTTTTTTTTAATGAAAAGATACCGTTCAATTGTAATCAGTGTTACCATTAACTCGATTTTTTTGAAAAAATGACTTATGCCACTTTCAAAATAAACCGCTCAAATGTTAACGGACCAATTCTAGTGGTATTAATTGTTCAATCAGGAGAAATTGTTCGGCGTAATTTTATTATTCTGACTAATAAGGGATATGCTCTTCTAGCCAGATTCATAAGACGCGCATTCTACTTGTCTGATGGTAACAGTCACATTCTACTTGTATGATACTGGCACATTCTACTTGTCTGATAATAGCAGAAATCTTCTACTCGTTTGATTTTTAAGAGACTTGTTTGAATAATGAAACTAATTGTACTTGCCCGATCAATAAGACACATATTCCACTCGTTTGATGAATAAAATTAATTCTACTTGCCAGATTAGTGAAACCAATCCTACGTGCCTGGTCAGTAAGAGTAATTATACTGGTCTGATTAATAAGACACATTTTGTTTGCCTATTAA